CTTACATTATAAAGGCACCGTCGGGAGCCATAAGTGCCGGTTCCACCTTCGTATCGGAAGCCTTTGTATATTGGAAGCTATTAAAGTTATTGACATGGGATTCCAACTTTCCCCTGGAAACTCCGGCTAATGGCTAGAAATGTAATTAGCTTGATGCATAACTTTGTAAGATAGCGGTTTGTATGTAAATGAGTGTACCGGGTAGTTGATTACGTATATCGGCAGTATGTTATTAAGTTACTTTAAATTTAATATTCCTTTTTTAAATCATAACAGAGGAGACGCGTCAAAAAGATTTTAAATAGATTTTAGAGATTTAGTTCCCTAGATCGTTTTGAGCTGCTTTGATATTTATTCTTAATATCAAATGATGCTTTTTACAGTTTAGGTTGCATTTCGACAAATGCAAATGTTAATTTTCAGAATTCGCAAAGTTATCTATCACAATTTGTTAGCGATTGCTTCAAAAACTCGAACGTAAAAATCGCATGCCAAGAGTCGGTAGCTATAAATTAATTTTCGACGTTTTCTTTTTAGAAAATAATATTTTTACAACCGGTTAGCGTTACACGAGGCAGTAAATTTTTGTGTCAGGTTCAATGTTTATTACAGGAATCACGTCAATTAGTACTACCAGGTCGATCTCTAGAAATATGATATCTCTACAAATTAATTGCCGCCGTAAATGAAATATATATTTCTAGTTTTGTAAGATTTATAGGAAGAGTTTGGACAACAGCACGGTATCACCTTAACGTCTTAATAATGACATTAAATTCACAGTTTTAAATTTAAATCAATTCACCTTGTGCCGACTTGTGATTTCTTGTCTGTTTGTTTGTTTTTGACAGGCTCGAAAAAATCACTCATAAATACTATATAAAAAATCATAAATGGAGGCCATTCACCTGCCATAACATTATTGTGATTTATAATCCGCAAGACGGAGACGAGCGCTTGATTCACTGATGTCTAGTCAAAGTCGCATTAGGCCAGTGATTGAATACACGGGATGAAGTTATAAGAGGCACCGTCATAAATCTATCTTCCGGAGTCGAGGTAGGGCTGTCGCTCTTCAGGAGCGAATTAATATCCCATCAGTTCACTATTAGTCTTGCGCTTTTTCACCTTTATTTGCGATATTTAAAATTCGTTTAGGGTGACGGCGAGTTAAGAAAGTTCCAAGTGGTAAAAAGGTAAACAAGTAACTTAGACTTTTTTTTTAAGTTAAGTAGAAGAACTAACCGTAAACTCCGAACGACCAAATTGTAAATAAATAAAACGCCAGACAGAAATACTTAGGAGTACATACCGTCTCTTGTTTTTTTAGTTCTAATTGTATTTTTCAATAAATTGACGTCAACTTAAAGATTAAAAACAATATCCAGATAGACCAAGCCATGATAAAAATGTAAGTAAAGTACATACAAGAAACGCTATTATTACCATGGTAGCACAACTCATCTTGGCACATCACGAAAAGCAGTCGTCGTTGGTTCAAATCCTGCCAGTGTAATTCGCTTTTCTTTTCAATCTAATAACTTTTTAATATACCGAAACATGTACGTAGTTAAATACTGTCAATAGTTTACGCGAGTAGTACACATTTAAATAAAACACTTACACGGTTTAAAACGCAATATATTAGTTCAACTTATTTGAAAACGTCGGGCCGAAGTTAAAAATCATTTTCAAATCAGTTTTAAACCGTTAAAGTGTTTTATTTAAATGTACGTAGTTGTTATAGATATCGTACAAACTAAGCCTGTAGTTGTATATATTATAATGATGAGATTGATATTCTTCGTATTTTTCAATCTACAGAGAGTTAATAGATTATAGCAAAGATAAGTAGTCTATTAATCATTGATATTATTACTTTACCCATAAAAACTATTACATAAAAAGCCAAACAGGCGATCAATAGAAATCCATAAGACGAGCGGGGACCGCGCACTAATGGGGCGAGTCAATTACTTAAGACCGGGGGAAACTCGATCATAAAATCCGGGCATATCGATCAAAGTTCGCCCGTGACCGCCGGCCGCCGCCCGGGTATCCGGGTGAAATATAGTTTTTCCATTTTCCGAGCGCTCACCGCTCAATAGATTGATTTATTATAACTCGAGGAGCGGACGACAAACGCTTAAAGATTTCACGTCGCCTCCTACGTGGGTGACAACTTCATGAAACGTTATTGGAGAATTTGTAGAGCTCGTTGATTTTAAAGGGTCGCCCGGTCGCTCGCTCAGAAAATCTACTCCGATCCCCGCTACCCACTGGCAAAGTGGAAAAATGTACTACTCTATTTTATAGACTAAGCACAGCATCGGACTTGTTATTTAGAACTATCTTTGCTAGATTCTATTATATTCTAATTCTAGATAAAAGAGTCCTATATAGTTTGTATATATCTTTAATAACCGCGATTACCTTAGAAATACATTTTCACAAAACTAACATTTAAATTTGTAATACCTTTTTTTATTTTCAACTAAATAGGTTCGATATAAATATATAATTGCAAAAGTATTGTTACCCCTTTGGCAGACAAATTACTGCGTCCGTTTCACTGACTCAATCCTACGTCCTGACAAATGAAAATAATTTATAGTCGAAATTCTAATCTAGGTCCTCTCATATTTATTGTTATCCTAAATATAGTTATAGACTTATTACATATATACCACATATATAAAAATATCACAACTCAATGACTATAATACTCTCAAGCAGTATTAATAGAAAACAAGTACATTGTTTTCAAACGTAAAAGAATATTCCTCTAAGGAGCTCGTTCGGAAAAGCGTCTACATTTTAAACGGAAACCCACAAAACACTTAAACATAACCTCTTAATCTTTCGCAAATAGCTCAAGCTATTAACAGACTCCAACAAGTCAACTTGAGACTGTTTGTTACTTAATGCTTATTTAGCTGAACATAAAATTATTCCTTCAAGAGGTCGAAATCTTCGTATTTTTATGCATACAACGAGAGAGATAGAAATGAAATATTTTAATTTCAGTACGTCTTTTCGCGACGCAATTCGACAGTGGCTTTTACTTTGCAAGATTTTTTTTTCTTAAATACCATTTGGGTACTTATGAGACTTACTTTAATATACTTAATATTAAACTGTTTAATAAGTATACATTAAAATTTACAGTTTTAAAAGGTTATTAATAACCATTACTATGTCGTAGAAATGGCTTTACTGGGATTTCCTAGTACAGCACTAAATTGCTTTGTACATGTTTCATTCGTCCACAAACTAATACTCCAGTCGTTTTAAACTTAATAATGGTTTTTGCTAAAGCACTTTCCGCAATGTTCAAATACACAAAAGGTCACTCCATGCAAACACACCAACCTAAATGAATATCTCAATCAATCTTACGCAGTAATTTGGGGAATTCAATTAAAACAACGCAAACAGCATACGGCCGCCCATTTTTGTATTGCGGGCAAACAACAGACGAAATTAAATTGTTGTCTTAGGATCAGAGAGACGGAGGGCGCGGGCAGGGGGGAGTAGGACAACAATAATTACGCATCGTAAACACAACAATGGGAAGAGCCCTCGGACCGAACAAAAGCTACGCAATTACGAGTCCGCGTAATCGCTTCGAGAGGGCATAAATAAGACGCCAACAATTCCGACCATCAGCAAATATTTTCCTCGGAGAGACCGCTCATAGTGACTCACCTGGGCAGGCACCTCCGCCGATCAAAGAAACGGAATCAATCGAGAGAGAAAAAACCACCCCGATAATATAATAGAATTGAATTATCGAAGCCCAGAGCTCGGAGCGGGGAGACCGAGCGATTCGGAATAAAGGAATCGGTAATTCGATTGTGCTCGCTAACAATCGATTCGCTGACGATGTTTGCTACGCGATCGTGTAATGCAATAATGAAAATTGTTATGTTTCGATCTCGCAACAGGTCGCGACGAACGAACGAAAAAAGATACGATCTCGTCGCGGATATTCGATTCTGTGAAACGGCGCGGCGCGATGCAATTCTCGCCTCGTCCGTCGCGTTAAGTACTTTATCGATGTCGCTGCTATTTAACATTCAATTCGATTAATTTTAAAGTGTTTTAACAGGGTTTCAACGTATTTTATACAGATTGGTTGAACTCGACGATTGTATACAATCACATCAAGATAGAGGAAGACAGACAAGCACAGGGTACACTCAATGGCAACCGCCATTTTAGCATACACAAAATTAGTCCAACATATTTCAGGAAAATAATAAATTTGAAGTTAATGTTGGTCTTGTGGGGATCAAACCCACCAAACCGTTAATTACATTGCTACCATAACACCAACGAACCCGCGAAACGATAATATCTTATTGATTAATTAAACAATATTTACAAGCAGATGTCATTATAAAATATGCGTTATGAGGCGTTCTATTATAGCAGAGGTGAAGTATCGCAATAGTAAATTGGATCACCGAAAACAAAGACGTCGAAACGCAAATGAAATTCCGATTCTCATCCATCGCAGATTCTATTTGCGCTTCGTTAGAAATTTAGACTGTCGACGTCGCGGCTCGCGAAATAATTTCCTCGGTCGTTATAATTTCGAAATTGGCTATAAATAATTCTAGTCAATAGTCAAAGTTGCGAACGGAAAAGTCTTTGTCATAAAAGATTAATCATTATTATTCAAACTCACTTGCCTCTGTGGTAAAAACGACCCTGAGGATAATGCTTACCAGAACAATATGTCTATTTTTAATGCCTAAATGCCTAATCTTGATTCGACTTAAAATATTAACTATAAAAATCAGTTTGACCGACTCAATTTTAATTAATATTAAATACACACAGTATTTTCTTATGTAAGTCAGTTCAACTTGTAACAACTTAGAATTTAAGAGAACTCTTAAACCTTGAAAAAAATTTTTCAAGTGTTATTAAAACATACATTAAATCTCATGACATACGACTTAAACATAGTATACAACATAAAACGCACTTACCCCACTCAACGTTTTGATATTGTGCAATGCGTCCTGCGCCTTGAGGGCGGCTTTTCGCGTGAAAAACGTCACAAAACAGCATCCTGCAACAGAAGCGCACACTTACGTAACGTTACACGACGAGAGCAAACGTACAAACATACTACGAACATATATAATCAAAACATACATACGTGTAAAAACGATAATTAATATTTCATATATGTAGTACCAAACTACGACGTCGAGTATTGAAATAGTTTATTTTGTGGCATAACACAATTTTATATTTGCTCGTAGACATTGAAACATTTACTTACTTATTTACTTGGTAATTTTAAATTTAGTCTTAAATTTATTCGCTTTGCTGAACCGATATCTACATAAAAGTACAATTGTGTTATTTTATCTATAAAGTAAGTTTAGCTTTAGTATGTTAGTGTTAATTTCCAGTTTAAATTATCTTTTTATTGTATAATATTATTTTTCATGTTCACATTTGATTGTTTACTAAAACTATCTTAATTTAAAGATCGAAAATAAATTAAAAAAATTTCCGACTCGAGCAGGACTTGAACCGGCATCGTCAGCGATCTACCAATTGAGCTACCGAGTCCTACACCTCATCGTCGAATTTTTTTCAACTTATTGATACATGCACCTCTCGCGCAATGTAATTTCTACCTTAATTCTTGCGTATTAAGGTTCAACGTCTTATGCTTTGCAGCTTAAGAAATCATTGAAGATGAAATTACAAATTATAACGTTTGAAAACTTTATTTAAATTTAAAATTATCTTTTTATTTTTATTTCTACGTGCAAAGGTTGCCTGGAAGAAATAGGCGATGATGCCGCCTTTGCACAAACTAGTCACATCGCAATGTGTTATAGCCTATAACCTTCCTCGATAGATGCTCTAGGCAACACAAAAATAATTTTTCAATTCGAACTCGTAGTTCCTGAGATAGCGCGTTCAAAAAAACAAACAAACTCTTCAGCTTTATATATTAATATAGATATATAATTCTAAGTATCTATGTTTGTGTAATAAAGAGGTTTTATTATTATTATAAAATTCTTTACAAATTTGGAAAACAAAAGAATCTGTTAAATATAACGCCTTTTATAAATTAAAAATCCAGTGAATTAATACTAAAGTACCATGGAATAAAGATTGTAACGAGCAGTTTTCGAAAGTACGCATTTTAATATAATCGTTCGTTAAGTAGGCACCTAGTATTTGAAGCTACCGTAGCACAATTATATTCTTCAGGTACGAGCTTATGCCACTACAGCCTATCATAAAAGCCTCACTACTTTATCCATTTAAGAAGCGTCGTGGATAATAAGATGGTATAAATAGTGAAATTACATGAGCGGTACATTTCCCAATCCCTTAAGTTATGCTTCAAATTTAATTTAAGTTACGTATTTTGAATCTTATCATTATATTTTTTTAAACCAAAGAAACATTAAATTATATTAGTAACTTCCTAGTTTAATTTTGCCCCCCTCTTTTTGCAGCAAGTTCGCGATAATTTTATTTGAGTGGGTAATTAAGCATTAAGTATAAAAAATTCCGACGAACCATAAATTTTTACCCATCACAAAATCAAATCCAGGACCCGCCTATGTCTCAAAGCTGGCTTTAACTATTAACCCACCGAGGGGTTGGGGCTGTCTAGGAAGAAGACTTTGATATGTATTAAAATAACGTTTCATATTAATACCGTAAATGAAATATGCTGTAATCCCGGAAAAACGTTTCACATCCGGTCGGCGGCTACGCGTCTACGTGAAATTAAACAAAAGACCTCCAATTTCTATGAAGACTTACAAAAGGAAAGCCCCACAAAAGAGTTACAACACAGCAACAAAACGTCAACATGTAACATGCGAGGCATTGTCGTCTGAAACAATATCCCGGCGAGCCTTAAGGAACGTCTTAAATTGAGCCGTAATTTAAAGAAACTACCTTTGAAGGTAGCGAGCCATTGTACGTATCTACGTTGCGGGAAAGAATTCTCGTTTACGTAAATTTTTACGTGTATTAAGTGCACTCACGTTGCACGTTTGAATTATTTGAAAACTTAAAGCATTCGCGGCAAATGATTCGCCTAATATGACGTGTGATGTATGATGATACTAAGATAGCATAGAAAATGCAATTTTATATATTGATATGAATAATCTTCTTGACTTAGCGAGTACGACACAACACTAGTGTGACGCGATAACGCGCGCGCCCCCGCACTAGCTCGGGAACTGTCTAATACGAACGATTCCGCTAATAAATGAATATTTTAGAATTTAAATTGTGTTTCCGTCTTAATAATATAAAGTTACATTTACTCAGGACTCGAATGCAGGGTGTGTCATGTGTTATTGCACTGCAGGGCTTCATGTATGTGACCAAAGAAAGCCATTGATTTTTCCAGCAAAATACGATATCATACAACTTAGTAATATTTCAAACAATAGATGTTTTAGCTCTGGCTCGATTCAAGAACCACCAAATTAAATGAGCCGCTGTAGAAAATTCACGACAAAACTTCGTCGAAATATTATAATGGTCATTAAAAAAGATGAATAGGCACAAATTACAATTATGCTGGTCTAATACACTCGAATAAAAACGAAATGATTCGAGGCAAATTAGAATTTTGCGAGCTCACCGCTCCAACGAACTTTCGAATTTTCCTTTCGGCAAAAACTTAATTGACACTCCGTTAAATGCGATCATTTTTATTCCCGCTCATCAAAGATTTAATTGACCAGGATTCAAAACAATTCTGTACAGTTTTCAAATAGGCAACAATGGCTGAAGAACGCTCTGGAATATTTAAAATTGACTTAACATTTTTCTAAACCTATGCTGTAGAACAAAAATATTTTATTTTTTCATTATAGCTTTATTATTTATAACAAATACAACTGAAAAAATGGAGAGACCATTTATTGTATGTATTATTTGTACTTGGTAAAAAATTATGAACTTTTTAACAAAGTATAGTTTTATTAAAATTTTCATAATTTTTATATTATTTATTTTTTATATTTCTCCAGTACGTTGTAATAAATTAATTATAATTTTATCTTTATTTGACGCGGATTAAATTATAAATTAAAATAAAACAATTGTAACGGTTTCAAGTACAACATTTAGTAAGCAACGGAAAATTATAAATCTGTACACGCAGTAGCGACCTATGCAGTGATCAATAAAATATTCCAAATTGAAGTTATAACATAATTATTAACAAAACTGTTCCAAGCAAAATAATTCGTAAAGACGAATCGCTTGCAAACTTTCATTTGATGTCGCGACTTCAAAGAAAAGGGGAGGTTTTTAATCAAGTTGGTTTCTGAAGTGTGTAATGGTACACTGTACGCCTTATATGTTTGAAGGTACTCGTAACACGTTAATTAACCGACTTCGGTTAATAAGACGCCATTGCAAATTTGCGAGCGGCTTAGCGATTTACGACTGGGTTCTTATTTGAAAAATTTCTTCAATTTTCTTTATTCTTTCAGTTTGATTAATTAAGTCACGATTTGGCATGAAGATATATACGACGATGAATGTCAAAGCTATCTATAATAATTGAAAAGTATTCTTAATTTAAACGAAGTTAAAAAACGTAAAGATGGTGGTACCTGAAAGTTTCATTGTTAACAGTTTCGTTGTTACAGGAAGAAAACAATGACATTCAATCGGTGTGCAGAAGAAATAATTATATGGGTTAAAACTGTTTAATAGACAGGGAAAACACATACAATATTAGTTTGTATGTACGTATATTCTTTGTAAGTTCTTTAATGTGGAAAAAATTATTTGAATTTAAATAATTGCTGAAAACTCTAAATCGCTGTGTACATTAATTTTTTTTAAGTATGTATCAATAATAATTGAATTTAGAACGCCATAAGACGACTTCCAACTTCGCTTAGTAAGCAAGCTTAAAAACTGTTTTTAAAACCCAACTAGCCCTGCAAGATGTCGGTGAAAGCTATACAATTCATGTTCAAAGATTAGAATCAAGGGTTCCGCATAGCAATTTATAGCAAGGGTTAATTAAATCAGATTCATGTAATTTAATTACGAGAACGATTATTATTATCCAGGACCAAGTAAAAGTACGCTCGACGTATGAAACATTTCAAGTCCAATTCACCGCCGTTATTATACTCAACGTGGGCATTTCAAAAGAAAAATGTCAAATGCGAGAATGTCCCGCTTAGTTTTGTGGAAAGAAATGCCTCTATATTACGAGTATACCTATGCCGCATACAAATACCAGGGCTGGGTGAAATTGCTTCCGCACACCGAGTGAAATGAATTTATTTTTAAAACGGCGGAAAGGTGAGGTTTTATATGTAATTTATTTTCATACTGTACTGTATTAAATTAAAGACCAGCGTAGCGAGACAACATCAATTAATTCTTGTATGATACCAACGGCGACGCTAAGATACAAGCTGGCAACTATAGGCCCATTCAAAAACATTAGTTTTTATAAACATCAGCAGCCTTGCTAAGTATATAAAAGCCACGAATACCACGGCAGCATGTAATACAGTGGTATAGTGTGTCGATGTATTTAATTATTGTAAAACTATAATTACGTTGGGAAACCATCGTGGTTCTAATCTAATTTCCTTTATTTAGAAAAGACCGACCTTTGCTGGCGCCCGTGATCTTGTCCCTGAGGACGTTTATCTGATGCACCCTTCCGAATTCCTCAAACATCAGCCTTAGGTCGTTCTCGTCCATACTGCGAGGCACTTGTCCGACGAACATCTGGAAATCGATTAAGACAAATTGAAATTTGAGCTTTGTATAATAAAAACATGGTTCAAAACGGACAAAATTATTTTTAATTTATTTCAACTGCGACTCGACATTTAAGATGCCCGTAGTTCCCCGGGGTCTCGGGGGTCTGAAGATGGGGGTACTAATGTCAAACTCAAATCTGTTACGTTAGCACCATAACAGCATGGCATAACGTTAATAGTTAAAGTTTAGCCGTTTCAGATATAATACGGAATGAATTAGTCGGAAAAAAGCTAGAATGTATATTTTTTTCGTCCGTTACGTATTTTTAGAAGATGAACACAAAAAAAACATAATTAAATAATTTTAATATGTGATGAATTGCACCTTGATTTTTTATACTATTGGGTAGCTTTATTATTTTTGTTGCGTGATATATTGTATGTATGACGAACCTTCGAAATGTGTCTGGCCATTTCAGCGTGAACTAATGAGTAAGTCTTCGTTACAAATCTTCATAATTATCATTTGATTTCAAAATATAGATGCATTTTTAATCGCAGCGGTATTTAATATCGACTAATCGTGTTATTATATGGCGTATCACTGTGAAAACGCAACACGCATGCATCCTCATCTAATATGCTAAAATAGCTAATACAGATCACCACTTTATTATAATCCGAGCAAAGGTGGTCATCGCTTAAAGTACAGGGAATAGCGATGCGATACTCACAGGCGACCTACATAGACTGATAACTTATCATGATTACGCATTTTTCACAACGCTCGAAATAACCGAATCTTATTCACACACACAATAAAGCCATATACAGGTAAATTTATTTATTTAAAACAAAAGTGAGGCTAGCAACAAGCTATTTCGCATAGACATATCAGGAATGGGCTACAATATAGCTCTCACTAATAAATAAAAATTAAATAAACATCTACACTGTGGCTCAAATAAGTAATCAACATGAAATAAATAATGAATTACTAATGACTACTACGCGTAAATAACTTTACTGCCAATCGGCCATACAAATGAGATCACGGTGAAATTAAAGCTTCAAATCCAGAGTAATTAGAGAACACAAACGCACTTAACAACAATTTTGACCTTGTTTTTCAAAAAATTCGCGTCAAGGTAAGTTTATTCACATAATTGTTCACAAACAAAACAATAATTTATTAAAAATTCAAAAACTAAAAGAGAGGGTAGAGGATTAATGACTAGTATAAATCCGAAACTACCTTATCGACGGCCTAATTACAGAATGTAATTTTGCAGAACGCCATCTACCGTCAAATAGCTCAGGCTATCGATCACAATTATAGTAAGTCGTTTACTTTATAGATACGTGGTAACAGAGGTCGCCACTGGTTTACTGAATAATTAGCAGTGAACTTCAATTAAAATGTTTATTTATAAATTTGGGAATCGTTCCAAGGGCTTTTTAATGATTTATGAAAGCAATTCTGTAAAGACAACAAAGTATCATTAGAAAGTAAAGAGTAATTTGTGTAAGAAAATCGAAAAAAAAATGTAGCAACATTAAATGCGCAATATTAGAAATACAAATGTAGATTTTCTTGTAACTTGAAACCAGCAAAATCATTAGAAAGCGGACAGCGGCAATCAACTGGAAGATGATATGCTTTAATTGAGAAATAAATTAAATATAGAACGCATAATTCGATGAAAATAATAATAATCCTAGTCCTATTTGAGTTTTACTGACTGAACTAAAGAGTTGAAATTTACAATTCTTCTAAAAAGAAAACTATATCACTTGTTCTTAGACACAAAAACAATGTCACTCAGGTCATCATTGGGTCTCTGATGAGAACTTGTACGGTAAAAATGGACAGAACTTTAAAATGATCAATGATTAATTAGTTAGTAAAATTATCTGCGAAAAGTATGCAGTTAAGGAAATCAAAAATTAATTTGTTATGGAATTTTCTATGGTGGTAAAATTTTACGTCTATTTATTTTGTATTAAAAATAAACTTTCAATTTGGTAAAAATAGATTATTGTCGACAACTCGATTAGGGATCGACAATCGATTATGCTTCAATAATACAGGATAGTGTGTTCACAACTGTGCTACGAAAGCCGAGCTTCTAAGAAGAGAGAAGGTAACCATAGTTTCAATAAGAAGTGATTTAAATATTAAATAATTTGCCATTTAAAATAGAAACAAAAGCTCTTAAAAGTAAATGCCGCGGGTAGAAATGTATAACAATTTCAAGTTTTAAATGAGACAATATCACAGCTGTCTAAAGGGATTTCACTTTTCATTTGAATTTATGAAAGTGAGAGACCGAGACAGGTGAAGTCTTACTAATTTTAAATTCTTCAAAAGAGTTGCTATATTCTGAGATGTTCTTTTTGACTGTTGATTGTTCTTTGACTGTTGACTGTTGTTTTATGCAGAATTGAAAAAGGGTATTAAACATTTGACGATAAAATATGGTGCCCCTAGGCATGGCTATATATTTTAAGATGTTTAAAAAGTATTGAATTCTTGTCCTCAGGCAATATTAAAATTTTAATATCTTTGATTGTAAACTTACTTTTGTTTTAAAACACTACATATTAACGATATCTAGTGAAAGAAAACTGAATTTATACACAAAAAATCAAGCAAAAGCCACTTTTAAATATATATTGTAATATTATAAACTCAATCTGATTTTCCCAACATAATATAGAGACTACAAAAATAGAAGTTTAACTACAAACTTGACATAATTTTGTACCAAACCAGTTTCAAATAGCTTTTATAGTTAAAGTAAAGAAAAATACACATAATGAAGTGCAATAATGAGGTAGTAAAGTAGAGGTATTTCTATTAAATCGTTGGCTTTATATTAAAATGTTCATTCTAGCTATATTCACCGTAAACTAGCGTCCAGGGAAAAATGTATAATAACGTTGCTTCGCCTTTGCGTTCTTTTATAACGACGGCAAAAGAGATGAACATGTTGTAAATATGCATATAATTTTGCACTCATTGTTTATTAAGTATAAAATAACAAGTTACTTAAATGGGTACATCTTAACTAAATACTGTCAGTAGTTTACGCGCATAGTACACATTTAAATAAAACACTTTGACGGTATAAAACGCAATATATCTTATTTATACTCGTTTGAAATTATTTTGAACTACGGCCCGACGTTTCGGATGCTTTGCAGTAGCCGTGGTCACGGGGAGACATCCCCAAGGAGAAAAGTTTAACTAAAATATATCGCGTTTTAAATCGTTAAAATGTTTTATTTATACATTTTATCTATATTAAAAGTGCAAACAAAAGGTTCATCTAATCGAATGTCTCCGCAAAAGCTTTTATACTAAAGTGGTTTGTGTGAAAGTATTTGTCCAAAACATTGTTAGTATTCACTTCAAGTATGACTAAATTATTAAAGTACACAATATTTCGTCGTCAATAAAAGACGTAGTGGTAAAGGTAATGTGATATAATATTTTCCCGGAACTCAAAGTGAGAATTACGCAAAACGTCGTATTAAGAATTGAGGTACGATATTTTACCGTTTATATTGAAGTTAAATAAAAAAAAAATCGTATCTAATATTCTACGAATATAGCTTTTCGCATTAGGAAAATCCTATTCTATTTAATAATTCAAATAAATAATATGTTTGTGTAAAACCAAGTCAACACTTAAAAAAAATTAAAGGAGAATTACCGTGAAAATGAACTGATCTTTCGCGAGACATTAAGATACCCCAAAGTTACACACTACAAATCTGAGCTAAACCCTCCGGCGTAAACATATCCCGCGAAATGTATCCCCTGAGCCAGCCACTAAATCCACACGCATTAGGCGGCTTCTCCTACTCTTGTGCGGGTAAGATGATGGGAATTTCACAGATTTTGATAACATATTTTTTTTAATATGTCTTAGTGCTGCCATCTATTACGTTTAATAAATCGACCTGATAGATTGTTTTACAGATATATCTATGCGGAAACATCTAGTACCACTTCAGACTTGAGTATGGTATATATAGTGATATTGACGTTTGAAAAACTGACATAGCGAGATGACAGACATCGTCGGGGTAGAGGTTTTTGGTGGTGAGAGAAACTTTCGTGCTTGCCAGGTATTCTGGTTCACAGTCAAAAGTAGTCACAATGTTGTGTACAGATGAACTATTTTTAATGCATACGGAGATAAACAGTATCAGGGATGTAATCACAAAGAATTTAACTGTTAAAGTGCACGCGGAATACCATGCATAATAAAAAAGCATAATCCTCATTTTCATGCACAGTCGGTCAAACTCACCTTAATGTAATCCGGGTCCGGCATCTCTGATTTTTCGTCATTGTTATTGTTGTTGATGCTCGTACAATTGTTGTTGTTAATATTCATATTATTTATCCCACTGCAACAAGGGAGAATGTACGTTTTATAATATGTACAAAATATACAAGCTGAATTACATCCTCGACTTAAGAGTTATATTCGACGTTACATAAATGACGTACTTGCACCTAAATAGAAATGATAAGTGAAGGAATCATATGAACCAACTTGTACCCAAGTAGAATACAGAGGTCTATACGCTTTTATATTTTTCTTAAATAACACAAAAAAACATAAAAAGTAATTTTAAAAAGGATTGTGTGTTTGGTTTGTGTGCGTTATAATGGTGAAAAAAATATCATCTTCTACTCCCATTATATTTTAATGACTCAATGAGTACTAAGATATGTATGTTAAGTATTTCCTGGCTTAATGCAGCTCTAAACAAGCTGTTTGTTAATCAGATAAAGATAAAAATAGAACAAATAAAGCTATTATATAGCTCTTTAAACCTTATTATTCATACTACAAACTGGTTACGTAATAATTGTAACGGTTAAAATCGACGAAAGCAATTTAACTATACATGAAATATATAACAATTTTCTTAAAACAAAAACTAAAAAAAAATTAACTTACATATTTCAGTTTAAATTCTTATCACTAATATCAATGATAACTAAGTTATCTGAAAGAGTAAAATACTTAGTAAGGCTAGAGAAATGTAGTCACGTTGTTTGGGCTTGGTTATAGTCAGGTAAAATGATAGCTGAAAGTCTAGCCAGGGGTAGTTTGATTTAGTTCGAAAATAAGTAGTAACCTTTTAAAATTGTACCCTTAATTCATATTGCATTGAATCGCTTGCTCATCTATGTAAAATTGTCTTCCAAATTTAAAAATAACGCCTCTGACCCAAATGTTTCGACAGTGTTACGTACCTGCTGAAGGAATAAAGGTATTCCCAGCTTAGTAGACGCACTCTATGGCAAGAGTACATGTTTGCCTTCCCCTTATCACTGATAACACAGCACATATCGCTCGATTACACCGCGTTATCGCGATCAACAACAGGCCGCGAGTTGATACTACTTAAACGGAGTCACTTTTAATGCAAGCGACATAATATTTTAAATTTGTTATATTTAAAACTGAACATGGAACGGCCTGTCCGGGGATTCGGTGCTTTGTTTGACATAAGTCTATTTAATTATACTTTCAGAAAATTTTGTTCGTAATCTCTAGTAAATGCTGATATACTATAGGGGACCAAAAACTGTGAAATTCAAGTAACTTTTCACTGATCAATTGTATGCAAGTAGTTAATCAGATATCTGTGCCTTGTGCGCCAGAAGCAATTTATCGTTGCCGACAATCGAACCTGGTACCTTGACGCTATGCTAGGCATGTAACCATTAGAGGAGCTACAGAGAAAAGGGATTATTAGGTTGTATAATTAGGTTCCATTACTGAATCTTCCATTACAAAATTATTTCATTAATGTAGAAAAGATAAATAAAATCAACTATTTAATTATTACATTGTTGTGTTTTATTTATATTTAATCTTATTATATCAACGTTTGTCTCTTGTATAATATAGTTATGCAATTCTATACTCCCTACAAGTGAGCGGTATTTGTCATCAATGTGCGAGTTAAATTACACTAGCAAAAGAAAATGCCATACTTTTTAAATATAAACTGTAATACTTATTATTGTTAGTTATAAACACAGATTATAGTTTAACGACAGATGTGTGCATTTACAAAAAACTCGGTTAACTTATCTAAAAGGGTCACTACACCTTGTTCAAATAATTCCGAATGAATATGGCCAACTAGTATTGTAATACCTACATGTGAAAGTTTTGATAACGCAACGAAAAAAGCACTAAACGTGTCTGGGGGTAAATAAAAGTATACCACGATTTTTTGCCCAGCCAGGCCACAAAGCACACGAAACACCCAAAATGACCCCACGCCCCAAACATAAAAGGCATATTACTTTAAAAATCGAACATAAATTGAAAAAAAAAATTTTTCAATTTATTTTCGATTTTTAAATTATATATTGCCTTCGTGTGCAATAACATGTAAAAAATAATAAAGTTTGCAAGCATAATAATTTTGTAAAAATACGACTAAATTAATTAATCTTTGTTACATAAATTGAAATTGAATCGGCGACCTCCGGATTGAAATCATATACGTTTGTAACATGGCTTTCTTTCTTCTCTAAGTTTTTTTTTATGATAGAGGAAGAAAACATGATGGATGGTAAGTGAAATAGCCCAGCCATGTAACGTGTAAAGTCGTTCAGCAGATAAATTAACGCAACCATACTATGTCAGTGAAACTTCGGTTCATATGCAGAATACCTAAAACAGATTGGCTTTTAGCGTAATAACTTTGTCCACTAATGACGCTAATAGCTAATACGTTAACATTATCCACCAAGCCACAGCAAAGCGCGGGCTAAATTATAAACTGCCAGATAAAATAGTATTGAAGCTATCGGACCCGGGGGCAAACGATCTATTGCGTTAATTACTTTTATAATTAATCGTTGTTAATACATATTTAACCGTTGAATTATGAATGTTAATTGTTCGGTCGCGCTCGACAAATACATTGTTTGCACGATTTTAATATTAAATTAACATAGACAATCGTTGCGCGCTCATTTAAGTTGCAACGCACAGACTATATTTTTTATTAATTTCGGGATAATACATAAATATTAATTTATACAGTGTACCTACATAGAAAATATGAATTTTCGTTTTTATCAGGTTGATGATATTTCTTTTATAAATATTTTATAATTTGTAAAAATATTTTTTATAACTTCGTTGTTTTTTTTTTTGTTAAGTAAGTAGTATTATTTAACGAAAATAATCGTTCCAGAAATAGAATAAGTGAAGTATTTTCTATAATTTACGCGAGAAATACACATTTAAATAAAAGATTTTTAACTGTTTAAAACGCGAAATAGTATATTTCGCGTTAAATAATTTACAATATATTTTAGCCACGGCCCGACGTTTCCGATGTTTTGCAGCAGCCGTGGTCACGGGGACACTAAAATGGCTCCCTTTTTATTTCCATAATGTCAAAGACAAATCTGTTACCCTAGCGCCATCTGTTTCCTCGTAGTTGGGATTTGGGAATCCTATGAGGGACTATCCCAAATATATTTAATACTTATATTGTAAAAAAATAATTAATTCAATTTGCCTTTTAACCGTTAAGTGTTTTAATTTCAACGAACAAGTGAAATAAAGTTTGAAAACTTTATTATTTTTACATGTTATTGCACATGAAGGCACTATATAATTTAAAAACCGAAAACAAATTGAAAAAATTTTCGACTCGGGCAGGACTTGAACCGGCATCGTCAGCGTTCCGTTCATGCCGGTTCAAGTCCTGCTCGAGTCATAAATATTTTCAATTTATTATCGATTTTTAAAATTGAAAGTTTCTAGCAAACATTACCATGCACGCGCCCGAATAAGTTAATGGTAATAGTGGTAATCGTCGGTACTTGAATTAAGACAGTAAAGTTGCAACCAATGTCGTACATACTATGATAAATAAATACCACCGTCCTCTGCTAATTTCCAGTCCAACTACACATTGGCACGTGCACTCCACGTGAGATAGGCACAAAGCACTTGTGTCATATCTCTCAATCGATATTCACTTGTTACATCCGATAAACACTCCAAAAAATACGGCTAACAATCGCAAACTTTATCAATTTAATTTGCAATTTATGGTCGTCTCCGTAGCTCAGTTACGCCTTCCCTATTGCGTCGATAACGACAGTGTTGAAGTCGAATCCGAGAAGAAAATAACTATTTAAATTAAACATTTTTGACGGTTTAAAACGCAAAATATATAATTAACTTACTTACAATTTTAACTACGGCCCGGCGTTTTAAACCATTAAACGCGTTTTATTTAAATGTGTATTCTCGTAAACTACACGTACACACAGTACTTAAAACTAATTAATTATTTCAGACGGTTGGGTAAGAGAAGTCAAATCACCTTTTTACTTTTCAAATTCAGCGTAATAAACACAAAGTTCCCTATACCTTAGGGTCACACCGAAACGCGAGTAAAGAAGAGAAAGTGAGTGCATCATAAAGTCAGTGAATATAACTTTATTTGAACTTTTTAAAAATAAACTTTGTATAGCTATCTTGAAAAATGTTCGCATCCCGCCTCAGTCAAAGCTGGCCCTTAGCGACACGGAGAGACAAAAGCACAGTGCAATTTACAAATCCTTACGTTATAACAGATTAATGATCCGGCAACCTTATAACTATATGATCTCATCTGGTACGGCCTACGGAAAGGCAGAATGTTTGCCGAGATTGTGTTATCGTGTTGTGAATAATATCGTCCGGAGGATATTTGGATATATAGTCCACGGTAAATCAAGTCAGTTTTTAATTTGTCAACATTAAAGACCAAACGCTCCGCTTACAATTTAACGCATTATTTTTGAGTATATATATTACAATCAATCTAAGCGAATTCACATCATTTACATTTTTGGCAATAAATGGTATTTGACGGCTTGTATACCGTCAGCAGCCGTAAATTTTTCGTTAATAAAAACGTTTTAACGGTTTAAGACTCGATAGACATTAGTTAAACTTATTTAAAAATTATTTTAACTACGGCCCGACGTTTCGAATACTTTTTGCAGCAGCCGTCTCTCCGTGACTACGGCTTAACTAATATAACTTGTTTTAAGCCGTTAAAGGGTTTTAATATAATGTCTACTACTCGCGTAAACTACAGACAAAATTTTCTTTTGTTGTTCAATATAAACAATTACAGTTTTGGTGTCAATTTGACGGCTCTATTTACATATAGAACCGCTTTTTTACAATAAATTATTTAAACATTTCTGTGTCTATACCGGGCACGACTGCAATCTTTAACTCAAAACTTTAAATCTATTATAGTACTGCGACGTAATAGATTGCTCGATCCCAATCCATTTAGTAAAAATGACTTTTATTCGAAGCAATCAATTCAACTGTTAAACTTAATACAATCTTTGCCAGTCACGAAAAGGTATGCGCGATTTCTGACTCAATTGAAACAACCGCATGGCGTGTTGAATTTTGAAGAACTGGTTTGCTTAGAAGTATAAATACATATCCCGAAATATAAACAAATAGGCCTACTCTGGTAAAGACCAAATAAATTATATAGACAGGTAATAAAAGTAAATTAACTGTAAAATAGATATAAGACTAGAATTATACAAAACTATGTACAGTTTTAATAAAGCATAAAAAATAGACACGGTTATCGAGATTAGACTAGAAACATTACAAAAGCAAATTACGAACTTCCTCGTTACAAACTCACTAAATACGACAAACTGATAAATTGAGATAAGGTGAGCAAATGTTGATTTTAGATATAATTAGGGCAGATTTCTCATTATGTGTGTCTCCTAACTGTGTCTTCGTCTGTGTCAGTTTCCTAAGTAGGCTCCAAATATTAGTGTCTAGGTTTTAAAACGAGCGACATCTAAATAGATATTAATTCCTAATAAAGTGCGGCGCGTTGTTAGCCGCGTGGAGTTATGATGTTTTCTTTTAATTTTGGGGCTAAGCTTAAACGAGTGTTTAAAGTTTCAACCAGGAAAAGCTATATTTTGAATAGAGATAGAAATTAAACACCAATCTAAAATACATTACAAATATACACGGATTGGTCAACCACTAGTATAAGATCTCTCTAACATAAGGGTGGGTTATGAATGTAACATAAACGACGAATAGGAATAGCTCTGTACGTTAAGGGAGCGTCCCTTAACGTACAGGGCTCTATCCCCCGTCTCCTCTTCTGCCTAGGCGCAACTCCGCACACATAAAGCTACACAATCTAAGCGTCGCAATACTCACTTGGTCTTCGAGTAGGGCGAGGACGGCGCAGACTTGTGGTTCCTGTTCGGGTGCGAGTGCTTGTTCGCGTTGGTATCAAGGCCGCCGCCCGGCGATATCTTGCCGGCGAGTGCGTTCAACGAATGCAGCATGACGGGCGGCGGCCGCTGTCTCCCAAGCGGCCTGGTCACGGTGAAGACTCGCCCACGTTTGCCACTAGGCCGGCCTTATCAGCCGCCGCCTTATCTTCTGATAAGCGCGGGGGCACACCCGCGCCCCGCGTCATCGCCACCTGACGATACCCGCTCGGAAGAAACACGACACTCGGGTCAGTGTCCTGTCCGGTGGCGCGGACACATTTTTGTGTTTGCTCACTTGAATCTATTCACTTGTTCACTACACACCACTGGCACTGTTACACAATCTCTTAAGCGAGTCGACCTATCAACTGCACATTCCTTTTTCGCTAGCTGTGGATTTTCAGATCTGAGAACGGCCGTTGCGATATTTGAAAGTATAATTGATTACGAGGAATGGTCGCCTGTTCGAGTCTACAAATACTCAGAACGAATAGAAACGCCTGGCAAAAACAAAAAGCAATAACGCAGAACGGCACGAATGCCTGTTCAATTTCAGCAATGGGCTCCGTTTCGCTAGGAGCTATCGGGGCCCGTTATGGGACGTTAACACGAGCCTACATTAGCGTTTTTAATTTGGCACCGAAGTTGCCGACTATTAAGACGTTGTTTATCAGAAAAACTTTGGAAATACGTGCTTCGATTCCATTAAGCGCAAATTCAACAGATAATGGCAGCGGGGCCGTGCCAACGGCTGAGTGGTGTCGCGCGGTGCTTGCCAAACAGCACGGTTTTTATGTCGCGACATCCACTCTGTGTGAAAATAAAAACTATCTAGTTTCATACGACCACTACCAAACACTGTTTCAAATAAGTTAGAGGGGCGTGATTCGAACAAACAACAAAAAAAAATATCACATATAATGAACACAACCAAAAGTATGAACGTTAGTTACAGGCCGATATAAAATCTTTAGTTCACGTACTTTGCCACACCAAATAAATACCGACACGTAACAAAAGTTCACGTATTTTCGCAGACGTCTCACTTGGTTTTTCCCAAATGGCACGCAATCAAAATCGCATTAGCGAATGGAAAAAAGACGTCGAAAAGCCAACCCTGCGTTCGTTCTAATTTAAATTGAACATTCGACATAACCGCGGAGGGGCCGTCATCTCGATTCTGCTAATACTGGCCAGTCACTAGCTTGCCTTGTACTAAGTACTGCGCATAACTGTCGTGTCACTGGATTTTACTGCGATTTTAGTTTAGCCGAAAATCGTATGAAAGCTGAGTATGAAAACTTTAATATTTAACTCATATTATTGCACATGATGACACTATATAAATTAAAAATCGATTATACATTAAAAAAGAAATTATGGTATCGTACCACAGCGTTCAGAGCAACAGCACGGAATGTTGGGATACCGCGTTAAGTCCTGCTCGTGTCGTAATTTTATTCAATTTGTAATCGATTTTTATTTGATATCGTTAAATTGTCAGTTGCCTATCACTCCCCACTCAATGTCCTCTCGCTCGTATCTCACTTCGTGAATTACCAGAATTAGGGCCCGGGTACGTTATACCTATGCGAATTATCCGCATCGCTTATTTCATGAACGTAGATTGACATATTTTTATTGGGCACGCGAGACCCAATGTCACGGAAGGGTGTCGACCGCCCTTCGCTTGCGACCTAGCGTTTTTCTTTTTAAACAATAATATTGGACATATAATTAAATATTACCGGATTATTTCATTAAATCACAATATTAACATATATCAAAACATATGCCTGGTTAGTCTTAAATAACAATGATAATAACTGCATAATTTTAAAGGTTTGTCAGAATAATGTCAGGTACGAGAATAAGACCCATCTTTTTTATTTTCTAGACATATATAAAATATTAAATAATAGGCCTCAGACAGTAAAAAATTAAAATCAAGAAACAAGTAAGGAACAATACATAATTGTTACGTGCGCTTACGGGTCTTGGTCGACAGCACATCTTGTTTAGATGTTCAATGGCTGGGGTATTTTACATTTCATCATGTGACCCCATGCTTGCCAGTTCTCCATCAAAAAATAAATTAGAATCACTGTAGGCATTTCAAAGTAACATTATTTTCTGCATATAAATGCGTATAAATCGCATTTCTGTGTAGCCACCCAAAGTGTGGTAACCCCTTGCGTCGAGGGGAGGCGGAGGGAATTCTGTCTGTGTTGGATGCAAGTACACTACAATGTTTAGGCGCAAAGGGCTTTTTGTAATTACTTGGCAATTGAGACAACATCCGATGTAAGGCTGACGAGTGAAAACGTGTGTAGTTTAACAAGAACCTTTATAGCTTCAAAATCTCTTTAAACTTATACAAATGGAAAAAAATAAAGACACGGGCAGGACTCGAATTGACATCCACAGCGTTCCGTGCTCTTGTTCTAACCAATTGAACTGTCGTGTCCTACACGTCATCGTCGAGTTTACCTATCTATTGATAAATTCACCTCTCGCGCAATGTGTATGGCGTTTTAAACCGTTAAAGTTTTTTATTTAAATATGTACTACTCGCGTAAACTACAGACAGTATTTATCCACTATTAAAGTTTTTTCTATAGCTGACAGTGCATTCAGCTATAGAATTATTATTTTTTTCCTTTAACAGTAAGAAAATATATTTATAGAAAAGACGTTATATTAACAACATATAACAAAATGTCGAGCTATTTTCAATACAGCATCGGTCTGTCGCTGAGAGAACATTTTCCATTCTGCATCTTCACAGCATTAGGATATTGGATTAAATTCAGACCTTACAAACATCTTGGATATTTTAATTCATTAATTTACTTTAGTATTATTAATTCTTGCTATAATAAAATTGTAGTTAAGTTAAATAAATTGTTTTTAAGTTTTAGTTCTCGAACTAAGAGTTAAAAAGTCTAAGACAATTATTATATTTATACTATGTTCTACTGTATATATTATACATATTTTTAAAAGACCAGCACTGCACGTAATATGTGTACTGTAATTTTATATAACAAAATAATAAATTTATTAAGAAAATAGTTTGACAATGTATTTAAATTGAAAAAAGAATAATTACGACTCGGACGGGACGTCGTGTATTGCAACTTTTTCAAGAATATCTTATATTACTTTATTTTTTAAGCCGTCTTCTCGGTTATATAAACATATTGAACCCACGACATGTGTATATATTATGAGTATACTTATATTAGATACTTTTAGAGTATAAAAGGTACCAAAAAAGTGCCAATTATAAGCTATTGCTGTAATTGAAATATTAATCATTCGCCACTTATAAACTGTTTTGTCGCGATATAGGCCAAGGCAGTCCGCTTCGAGCAAGTGCGATTCATTAGTGTTGCAGCAATTATGAGCCGCCGTTTCGCGAGTGCTCCAAAGGTGTATTCGACAAACGATTTTCGCCTTCGAGGGCAATATAACGAACGTTTTAAGGGGTTAATTTTACTGTTTACGGATAAAATCGCTGGCTTTTATGATTAGATAACACAATTCTGTTACAGAAACACCGAAAGTATGTTAAAAAAAATTAGGCAATATCATTTATATTAATTAAATATTCTATACTCTTGTAGAGCCTTTAAGGCTTGTAAATAAAACACTTTAAGAATTTTAAACGTGAAATCTATTAGTTAAACTTTTTTTTAAATGATATTAACTACGGCCCGACGTTTCAGATGCTTTGCAGCAGCCGTGGTCTCGGAGAGACTGTCTTTAAATGACATTGAGGGGTAACAAATTAACAAAAATTATAGCTATTTATACTACCCTCACTAGGTCTGAAAAGATTTCTTCCTTCTTTATATTAATCACTTATTTCACGTCGTTACTATAATTTGAATACACAATTCGACTTTTTCAAAAATATACCGTAGACAAATGACTCGACACATGACTTAATCAACCGAGAATTACTTCTTTTCATGTCAAAACCATTATTTTCTATTAAACATAAACTGCGTTTTCTCACTTTTCAATATAATATAAGTTTAATTCGAAACTCTCTCGCGAAGCAGTCGAATTAATCCTATCGTCCGTAATAAACCACTTAAACTATTTGAACTCGGCTAGAGAGAATGAATCATTTATCGAGTATCAAACAAAGTTAGCGAGTTGAAAAACTTTAAAACAACTTAATGGCCGGGAAGAACTCCGAGTATCGAATTACCGGACCGGTGTCCGGATAAATAGTTGCATTAGGATTTTTCAAGAGCGCACTAATTTCGTTAAATAACTCCGCCCTTGGACGCCGGGACGACAAGTTCCGAATAAACAACTAACTGCGCGAGTCATTGGTTTAAGTAACATTTAACAGAACAAGAATATCATGGTAATCATTTAATATTTTGATGCTTATATAATTAGGTGAAGAAAATCTTCCTTACTACTATATTAACTTAAAGATCGGTTATACAAAGAACTAAGCTAAGCTAAACTAAGCTAAGCTAAGCGGGTCGTGGGTTTAATCTCACCTGGTCGAATACATATCTATGGTCTTATATGGCTTGGGAATTATTTCATCTTCTTTCAATGAATGCTGGTGACTGATCAGCATATGGCATAATAGTATAATAGTATGTACTTACGACTATTAAGGTAAGAAAAAAAATTAAGGCAACTTCTCAATTTAAATATATTCGAGTTTGACTTATAAATAGTTTAAAACGTCTCATTAAATATTAAACAAAGCCGTCTCCCTCTTCCGTGAAAGTATTTGAAATTTACCAAACTTTCCAAGACGGCTCGAGAGCGGGTTTTAAAATTAAAATAGCACTGCAGCGTTGTGCTCCCGGGGCGAGTCAACTGTGATTATTTGTTTAAGCTTCCACAGTGGGTCAGTCGAGTGCGAACTTTTGAGAATAGAACTCGTTCAGCCCGGAGTATTATACAATGGTAGGCAAAACTGCGCCAAACCCAGGTGTATAGACAATTTCACTTACAATTTAAAGTAGCGATACAATATATTTTTATTGATACAGTTAATAACTAAATCGAGATAAATATTTTAATTTAGAACT